GGGGAGACGCTCGCACCGCCCAGCCCGGGCCAGAGGCAGCTCTGGGCTCCCCCGCCAGGGGCGCTGAGTGCAGCCTGCCCACACACGGCTCTGCCTTCAGCGCCTCAGCACGCCGGCCAGCCCCGGGCACTGCGGAGCAAAGGAGTGCAGTGCAGGCCAGGAGGGGAAGCCACAGGGGCAGGCTGTGAACAAGCAAACCAAAGCTTGCCATCTTCCCCCCCTCCCCCTGCATTTGTTTCTCCACAGGCTGTAGTCCTATCCAAAACACTCCTGTATGTTACAGAAAGCCACCTTGTTGTACTGGCAGTTCCTAAGCACAGTAGCTAGTTGTCCAGCTATTCCTGAAGTGTTGTGTGGCAAGACTTCATCACCAAGGAGAGGACAAGGAAGAGAAAAACACCGATTAAGGGGACAGCTCGGTGCCCAAAAGAAGCTGATAGCAGCAATACTGCCAACTCATTTGTTATTTTAATTTTGTCAAAAAGATACTTTTTACTACAGTGTATTTGTGGAAACAGAAAAGAAAATTAAGAATAATTTTTTTTTTTTTTTAAACCCACCATTTGAGTCACTCTGTTCTGACATACACCACAGCAGATAGCTGGACTGCAGTGGAAAACCAAAAAAATCCCATGTGATCTCACCTGTATAAACAAAGGCCTCAGAAACTGGAAGCAGGGTTTTAAGCATGCTTAACTTAAGGCACTCAACATCAACCAAGTGGAAACACCAGCAGATCATTCCACTTACATGGTGGATCTATTACTGCAACATTCCCATAACGAAACTATAGTACGCACACATGTTCTTGGCACGGTCCAGTTTTAGGAAGGACTATAAGAATCTGAGAAAATTGAGAAGCTGAAAAAGTTATAGAATAAGAAAATGCTAACATAGGTATTCATCAACGTTTTTCTTCTGAAGGAGGATTCAGGCACACTGTTACAGATTTAGGCACACTGCTCTGTGCAGAGACAAAGTCATCCATATTTTACACAGAAAAGCAAATAAGTTGCCACTACTGTTTTATACTATTGAATTTCAACTTTTTCACCTCTTTAAAAAAAAAAAGTATTAAAAATCTTGTTTGGAGAGACTTCTGACCGTTTCAAAACATGTGCCTTTCCCTGAGGACAAGAGGTGCTGGATTTATTCAGGACTGACTTTCTGTTAAGTATTCTTAGTTTCAAAGCAGATGAGGACTGAATGCATCTTGAACACTGAAAACTAGTCACACCTGTCAATTAAAGAAGATAAAAATTATGCTTACCTTTCCATCAGCAACATAGATAATATCCATTTAACACCATATTACTAGGAGTGACACATTTAAATCAATCTTCAAGCAAATTTGTTTAATTACAGTAATTTTAAACATTTCCCCTGCACACCGCCCACCCCCTCCTTCCTTATTGTCATCGTATACATAATGTGTCACTTAGGGATACATAAAACAGCTCTTCTTTTGTATTTGATGCTCAGACTCTTCTTATGGGGTGGGAGAAAACACTACATGTTGTACATTACAACATGTCTGTTAGACGTTATGTTTACAGAACATAAAAATGCAAAACCCAAATCCTGCCATGGTATCACAGGTTGCTGTTTTTTTCAATCTTTCAAATGATACTAGCTTTAAAAATATTGTAAATTGATCCAAATGTAGCAGGGTCAAAGTGAAGACCAGACACTCACCTCTGCAGGCGTTCCAGCTCCGAAGGCAGGTCACAACCCACATAAACTCTGTTCATTAGGCTGTATTCTAACAGTGCACAAAAACAGGGATCCTACAAAAGACGACTAGCATGTAATTTAAATCATGCTGCTCTGTGACTTTTCAAATAAATTAACACAGCACATGAATGCAGGAAATTTAATAGGACCTTTTTTCCAGAAACAGAAGTCTACAAAGGGTGTGAGCATACCATAACATGGTGTGTCACTTACAAGTGCTTTGTTGCATATAGGTGTGGGGACACTAAACTTCCTATTCAGACCACTTCTGGAATACTGCTTGCCTTCTTACCCAGAAAGTCATAACATCAACTACTAAGAACTCACCTTATGCATAGGGAAGAGCCACACATGGGTTCAAAAGGAGACCACCTCCTTGGCAGGCTGTTCTCTTAATCGGGAACAATAATTTCTACCACCCCCATTTCAAAAGTGTCATGACTGCGTTTCAAAGTTTGAATACAAACTTCATTTTGTGAAGAATCTGACTACATGACGTTATTCAGAGCATGCTTATGGGACCTGCAGGCTGCTGGAGAACTTCACCATTGAGGTTTTGACCCCTTCCAGAGAAAAAAGCCCATACACACAGATCAACATATATACAATTTCCTTTGTGCTTGCAAGTCTACTGTGTGAGTGCCTGAACTGTCCATACTTACAGGGATCTAAGGAGTTCAGAAATATTCCCAAATGCAGACTGAGGACAGCGCACCAATTCTTCACATAACCTGATGCTCCCTCACACCAGATTAACTCCCCGAATAATGATTAACTGTGGCAAGTGCTGCATGCAATTCAAAGATGTAAAAACAAAACTTACTTTTACAAGAACATGAGGATTCCCCACAACAATCAGCAAAGCTTTTGCTCTAGTGATTGCTACATTAAATCTCTTTGGGTTAGTGAGAAAGCCCAAACAATATCTGTCATCACCAAATAAGCCTTCCTGAGATCGCACCTGAAATTAATGATAGATAATTTTAGAAACAGAATAATAAGAAAGCAACCTACCCAGCCATAGTGTAACTTTAACACCATATTTATTAATAATACTGCACAATCCACAGCTCAGTGTCAGCAATGCACAGTTTAGTTTCATAACCCAAATTTCAGCTAGCTAGTCACCACAGGCTATCCCACCGAAGGTCTATTCTCCAACAGGCTGCTGATGGGACTTCAGCAATCGCTAGAGAACGATGCACTAGTTTTATTTTAGTATCAGGACTATCAGGTGTCATTTGAAACATAAGATACCAAAACTGCTTCCTTTCACATTTTCAGTGGGAGACGTGCTGGAGCTGCTGGTATTCTAATCCCTACAGTTGAATGAAACAGTTCACAGGGTGTCTTTTGGAAAGCCTTCTCCAGCAGTCTCAGCAGTGTGCTCTGACTTGGCTTAGAAACAACGGCCAAAGAAACCGGCTCTAGCAACTATCCCTCATTACATTTTCACCCCTATTTCAGCCACATTGAACCCATCTTTGAGAAAAGAAAAAATTCATGACCTAAACATTAAGCTCTTATAAATAGGACATAAACATAAACAGTACATACCTAGAACTACTTTAAGAGAGATATACAGCATTGGATTGAAAAGCTATGGTGTGACACAGAAAAAAAAAGAAGTAAGCTTAGTACCACTGCCCTCTGGAAAAAAACAAGCAGGAAAATCTCACAAACTCTTCCCCCACTTCTACTGCTACTGTGGTAGCAAGGTGCCATCGGCAAAAAGCCTCAGTAGCTGTTGGCTTCAGTTTCCAAAAACAATCACCTAGGGAAGACCTTCACCAACATCCCTATAAGAAAGCCAGCACAGCACTGGGAGTGCACTGTCCAGATGATCATGAAAGACTGTCAAGTGTTTTTTACAACACAAAGTAAATAAACTTTATTTAGGGTAAGGTATTCAACTTCTAGGCACAGGTGACCACTGGTGTCTAGGAGGTTGTCAGCTGTGTATCATTTAAGTGCACTTAAAAATAAGCTCTGTTTTCAAACACTGTGATAGCCTGAACAAAAAAAATATGCCTTTTAGAAATAAAAATTTAAAAGCTATATCAAAAAGGAAACAGAATTACACAGATAAAAAACCTCTCAGCAGGACCACAACAAACATACGTACTGTTGATAAGATGATAACTGTGTACTCCTGCCCTTGAAACTCTTCTACTGTGCCAACTTTAATGTCTGCCAAATCAATACTTCTCAGAAGAAATCTAATTTTTTCCACCTACCAAAAAAAAAAAAAAGTGTTTGAAGGAATTTATTTTTATATTTGAGAGTGGATGATTTCAAGACTAAAAACATAGTACACAAGTGTGTGATTTAACACAGAGATGTCACAGGGAATGCCTGCACCACACTTAGCCACTAGTAAGGTTTTAAAATAAAAGGTCACTTTTCTTCCTAGGAAGTATCACACTTAGTACACAGCTTTGAAGGTGAAGTACTACCATCACTTAAATAGAAATCAACAGATTTTTAATAATCCAGATTTTGGTGAGAAGAACAATTTATATCCATAAACTTTTTTCTTCCAATGTGCATTATGTCCAAACTCATGCTGACCACAGATGTAACAGGGGAAGCAGCTTCCTCCAGCCCCTCAGGAAGACCATGCAGAGATTCCACCTTTTCTTACCAGCTGCATCATTCAGAGTGAGAGGCAGAGGCGAGATGTGACCTCAAGCACCCTCTTCAAAAGAGAATGAGAACAAAGTCTACAGCACTGGAATGCTGTTCTGCGTGTGAGGAGTATATTGCCATCTCCCAAAAGCTGCTTGGAGACAAGATACCTTAAGTGCTCCAAGAATTTCACCAGAAATCATGCCTGGCTAAACTGAGGATAACAGTAAATGACTACTTTCTAATCTGTGTTCCTGCAATACAAGGTGACTTCCTTGAAGCAGATATTGCTATTGTATGTCTTGCATCATAGGTAGATGAAGCATACACTCATAAAATCATCAGATGATGTGAAATGTTTTAAGCATAGGAGGTTCAGTCACAGCAATACTAAATATAAATATCTGAAAAACAAACAGTATCTGTAACCAGGGGGAGGTGCACACACCTGACCAGTAGGATCAGTGCAGGCAGAGCTCAGGATGTTTCCCCCAGACCAGGCATGCAAGGCCATAAAGACCAAGATGTGAATGTGAAGATTATGCATGCTGTCCAGAGCAGCCTCTGGAAATGAGGTTTAATCTTCTTTATAAAATGAAAGCAGACCTCACATACTTAATGTACTTGAATACAAATGGTTTTAAAAATAAAGCACAGCATTTGAAGTTGACATTCAGCATTCTCTCCGGGATTAAATAGCTACACACCCTTCATGTCTGACTATAGGACAGCTGAGAAGTCCCCATTCCTCTAGCTTCCTCAAAGCCATAAGGTGACATGTGACCTACTTGACTACACTTCCTCTTTGTTCTACTCCTCAGTTCAGAAAATAAGTGACAGAATCAGACTGCTAAAAATTCTTGACTTGCACTCTTTTACTGCCAACAACTGAAGAATCTGCTTCTGTCTCCAAAACTGCAAGCAGATCTCTCATTAATAATTTCCTGATCTTTCAAACTAAGAAAAAAAAAAGTGGAATGCTATTACAGCTGTCTTTCTCTAGGTTTAGATTTCAATGGAAACATCACAAATGATTGATAACACACTGTGTAATACGACACACAGCAGTGAAGCTTTGAGATACACTTCCCTGCTTCAACAAACCACAGCCACAACATAAAACCACGAGATGAAACACAGCAGCTCTGAAGCTCTTTGACAGCAGCTCTACCTGTTTGTGGTAGGGAGCAATCACCCCAATGTCAGCCACCGCCACCGCCGTGGTTTCACTCCTGGCGAGCTGGCAGCAGTACCGCATGACCTGAACCGCCTCAGCCGCGTTGAACCACGAGGGACTGCGACCCTCACGAGCTTCACTGCCCTGGGTGGGGGGAGAGGAAACGAGGTGATGAACACTGGGAGCAGGAGTAACTACATATTTATTCATAGATTATTCTTACACCTCCTAAATGCAAATAAGAGTGATGTAATGTTATACAGACTTTCTCTTCTCGCTATACACCCTTTTCCCATGAAAAACTATCACCTGACTTTTTTTTTTAAGCTGGAGATTTTACATGATAATAATACTTGAAGTGTGCAACTCAGAATAACGTGTTAGCATGTACTTGCTTTTGTGCAAGGTGGAAGAGTTCAAAACCAAGTCTCTCCAAGCAATAGATATTACCACTTTTTACTAATTTCTTGGAAGACTAAAGAAGACCTTTTTTATCATTTTTTTTTTCCCCTGCCTACTTAGGTCTTAATAATCCTCTAGTTCTAGTGGCCTGCATTCATTCTAAAGAAGCAAGCTCTCATTAAAAGCAATCTTAGGGATCAGTGTTGGGTCCAGTCCTGTTCAACATCTTCATTAACGACCTGGATGATGCTACAGAGTGTCTTCTCAGCAAGTTTGCTGATGACATGAAACTGGGAGGTTTGGCTGATAGACCTGAAGGCTGTGTGGCCATTCAGTGAGATCTGGACAGACTGGAGAGCTGGGCCAAGAGGAACCTACCGAGGTTCAACAAGAACAAATGCAGAGTCCTGCCCCTGGGCAGGAGCAATAAAATGCACCAGTACAGGTTAGGAGGAGATCTGCTAGAGAGCAGCCCTGTGGGGAGGGACCTTGGAGTCCTGATGGACAAAAAGCTGTCCATGGGACAGCAGTGTGCCCTTGTG